TGTGTAGATGTGTTGGTGGATATTGTCTGTGTGCAGATGTGTTGGTGGATATTGTCTGTGTGCAGATGTGTTGGTGGATATTGTTTGTTTGTAGATGAGTTGGTGGATATTGTTGTGTGTAGAAGTGTTAGCTAAGGCAGCAGGGTTAACCAGTTTGTGTCAGATTTAGGTCTAGAGATTTATTCGACTTATCATCAGAATGTTTATATTCCGTGATATATATATCCCTTTGTAGTTGCCGGCGGTCGAGCGGATGAAATCGAGTTCGTCTGTTAAACTCAGCTTAAGCTTGATGAAAGATGAAGAATAAACTTTACGATGCATCATATAAGTGTGATTACATGTCAGTTTATAGAACAGCCTGGCATATTAATTGTTGTTTATGATGATGTGCAAAATCTATTTACAGAAGTTGAGTTGAATTATTCAACTTGACGTTCATAGGTTTACATATGACACTTCAACAAAACAGTACTACCTACTATTTTTGAATAAAAAAGAAAAAAATTAATCGTCGAAAAAGCGATAGGTGTCGGATGTCGGAAAGAATGAACACATCTCTTTTTTCAATCTACAAAATTATATATTCATGATTGTCTAACCAGTTTTCTATGAGTGTGATTTCTTCTAATATTGCCGAAAAATCTATGATCAAAGATTTCTAAATAGAAACACGAAATTTCTACTTCCGGAAGAATTTTACACGAAGGATTTGGCAAGTTGTTCAGTAGAATTTATAGCGATATGCTTGATTTGAAAATGTAAAGAACATATTTTTCTGCACAAACGATTTTCACAAAAGCGTAAATTCCTCTACCACACACATAACGTGATACTTCTGAATGATAAAAGTGAAATACAAAAAGTGAAATGGTCTGAGACAGTTCGAGCATATTTTATATTACAGAGAACAGTTATTGATGTTCCAACCTTTTTATATAATAAATAAATGTTTTATTTACCGCTAGATAAAATCTTACGTCTTGGTGTGTAATATCTATTTGAATAAAGATTACTGTGAAAAAAATATACGGAAGTGATAATTACATTTACTGTACAGTCAGAAATGTTTTATTTCAGATTCCCTCAAAGTCAAACAAACAGAGGTGTTATTTTGCTTGTTTAATTTGGCACTTCTGGCCGCGGTGATCAATTTGTTGGGTCTACCACAGGGCTGCCCCCATAATCAACAATCAATACGAGTACTAACAACAAATGTGACGACCCAAATCGGGCAGATCATGCACTGGGTAGGTCACAAGTGCATGAACGTCACCAATTCAATTATCAATCAAATTCAATCGATCAATCAATCAATTCATTATCAATCAAGTCAATTGCTTGTCAATTACAAGCCAATGCACAAATTCAAATCCTGAATTTCAATTAGCAACACATGTGCAATAGGATAAACAATGGAATGAGCGTTAGAAAATACATGTGTTGCACTCCTCCAGTTGCGATGGAATACGCCACTTGCAAGGGCCATGACTACTCGTGTCTACCACGAGTAATCATGGAACTGCAACCGCCACCAATGGGCCGGGGGTGCCAAGAACCATGGTGGCGGCGGCAGCACCTCAACGCAAGTCGGCACCGTCGACCAGGGCATTCTCATTCACCAATACAAACTTATAAACAAGAGACTTACTTGTAAATTACTAATCAATGCATAGAAACAAAATATGAATTTAAATCGTCATTCACCTATTCCGTTATAAGGCTTTTAAAAATGTGTTAAAATGCAGCTATAGACATTTCAGTTAAAAAAAAAAAAAAACTTCCCATTGGATACTTATCTGAACTGTATTTCCCGTCCCGTTGGTTTATTTTATCGTATAACTTATCTACTAGACTGTTACTCCTGTTACGCTTTTTTATGGCTTTTATAAAAATTTAAACTGTCTTTGAACATGTTGAATGTGATGGCTATAGTTGTACTAAAAGGTTCGGACTAAATCAGACCCAAATTGAAAAAAAAGATGTTTACGTCACCTCTTAACTTTTAGGAATACCAGAATACTTTTAACTATACCGGTATGTGTGTCCTTAACCCCCCCCCCCCCCCTTATTTCCCAGTTGTATAAATTAAAAACCCCTCTTCACAATTTATTAACCAACTATTCATAGTAAATAACAACACTGGAATGAAAGAAAGTAAAAATATGTGAACAACATTGTAATCATATAACAACTAATTAATGGATGCATAAACAATTATATGCATTTGATAGCCAGCGCTTCAAAGCTAAAATGACCTCCCCTGTTGCATCTTGATGGCAAATGTGCTTTAGTGGTTGCTTGCCTGATTGAAGTGAACTAGATTTAAATGTTAAACTATCCAATACTGACTTAACCTGCCCGCGTTTCCCTGAAAAATGATAAACACTGGTCATGGGAATACTTGCAAGAACACTCGAATAGATAAACTGTTTTAATTACCAATAACTGCCAAGTCTATTTATTTAATCATCACCTATCGAATGTTCTATGCAAATCTTATAATTTAAAGTACAACTAATTTAGTTTTATATAACCTCATGTCAAAGGGGCAATTTAACCTATTTCAAACAAAAGCAAGAATACTTGCTATCGCGATTACTTAACGCAATGGAACTCTTTTGCGTTGGAGGTAGGAAACGTCGTTTAAATGGGGTTAAAACATGATTGTGACGTAAACCTTTTGTTTGTGTTGTCCATTCTGTAGCTTAATGTTGAGCTAACTCCTCAAAGAATCCATTAAGTTACCTGTAAGTGTCCATTCTTTTTGGAAAACTGTCCATTCTTTTTAAGAATGGACAGTTTTTTCAAAAAGAATGGACACTTAAAACAAACAGAATGGAGAGTTACAGGTAAACTTTGGAATGTGTTCAAGAGGGAAACAAAACAAATACATTAAATACTCTTTAATTTACATGTAAATAACAGAAAGAACACGGAGATCTAAGCTAATCCAGAACACAATATCTGCACAGGATCCACTTGATTTCATGAATAATGTACATTATTTCAATACTCAAAACTCAATATTCACAAAACTTGATTTCAAATGACACAATTTCACATTTGACTTTTCGGAAAAATTATTCCCTCGAGGAGAATTCATTTTAAGATTGAAATACGTCTAATATTAAATCCTCCACCCAGAAAACAGTTTGCTCCATGAACACTTCACTGCTGCAGTTAATATTTCCGTAGAAAATAATTAAAAATGAAACATCTCCAGATTTGATTTGTAAAACATTTTCAGGTCGAAGATTGGCTCATGGCTACCCAACATTCAGAACACAATATGCATATCACCAGTACACTGCTGCAGTTAATATATCCTCAAAAATAGAATTCAAATAAAACATTTCCAGGTTTGATTCAAATTTGATCTGTATCTGTTGGAGAAGTTCACTTTTGGGTCAAAGTTTGGCTAATATTTCTTTTACTTTTACTCTTCTGCATGTTTCCAGATCCAAATATCACCAATTTTAAGCATATTTTGGTTTATTAGATTTTGATTCTGTCATATACTCTCTCCATCAGAGGAAGACATGTATGCCTTTACAACGCAAGCTATAAACTGATTTTGAAGCATGGCATACTTGTATAAATACTAGTATCCCCCAAAATCCACCTGTATCTGTCCATTCTTAAGACAAAGACCTTTTGTTATTTGCATCTGCCCGAAACACAATGGCTATTCAACAAATTGCTCTACATCCCTAGCTTACCTATGACTGTCCATTCTGTAAACAATGAATTTGTCATTGTGTGTGTGCTACCTGTCATATCTGCTACCAGTTTTGTAATTTGTTTTATTTCATTTTCAGAACAAAGGAAATCATGTTTTAAGTAGGAGAAAGGCCTCAAACTGTCCATTCTGTGAGAGAAAGAACTAATCTCGGGCCTACGGCCCTCGATTAGTTCTTTCTCTAACAGAATGGACAGTTTGAGGCCTTTCTCCTTTACGTAATGCATTATTGAATACGCTATGAGATCGCTCACTGTAAATTTTTAAAGGACATACAAAAAAGAGGTCCTGGTGCAATATTTGCTAAATGTTCGGTGCACCACGCTGATGAAATTTTGGAGATGCTAGTTCTCTTGTGTTACATTTTTGAGGATATTTTTCACTAAGCCGACTCTTCTAATAATAAATTCACATTTTTTTTCTGTATGCAAAGGAGCGGCAGTAAGTTAGATAACTCTAAATAATCGCGACACTAAGTATTATGAGTATTCAAAAAATAAAATGCCCCGAAGGGAGTAATTTTATCTCCTTACAAGCCACTTTTCGAAAATAGCAGGAAAAGGACCATATCCTCAGTTACGTGTAATTAAAAAACCAAAACGATTGCAAACTTTTATTAAAAGTATATTATGACGTATGCACAATGTTGAAGAATTTATTGCGTTATTACAATAGAATCTTCTTCCAAAAGTTTGTGGTAAGGACACTTGTTACGGTTGCTGCTAGTTAGAATAATCTGTCTCGGGACAGGCCCTCACAACCGGGTCCGTAGGACTTAATCATTTTAACAATAGAACATACTATCAAGGTTGCTGAATGTTTTGTTTAAATTTAGTTGTAACGAGTCTTTTCTGATGTTTAATGCTGTATTACTGCAGTACATGTATATTACTGTGGTAGCAAAATGCTCTGTTTAAGTCTCTTAGAAAGGAGTCATTATTGCAATAAATTTCTCAGTTTTGAATTACATATTCTTAACTGATGTTCAATACTCTATTTTGATTTTGTGAGAAATTACTTTTACTATTGCTGAATTCTGACCAAATCAACGTAAATCAGCTTCGTCGACGTTGACGTTAATTATGCAAAAGGTTTAATGGACTTAACATTTTTTCAGAACATGAATAAGCATATCTGAACAGTGTGTTTATGTAATTCTATTTATGACATAATCTTATTTTCATAACTGTAGAAAATTAAGTTTGGAAGCTTTATAAAATATTGACAAGTGAGTTGATTGCATTAATTTGTCTTGCAGGCTGGCTCTTCACCCCTCTCTGGAGCATGGGTAAAAGAAAGAAACAGTCATTGTTGTGATGTGAAAGTGACACGGTTCTGGTTGTTATTTTATTCTGTAAATTCCTGGAGTATATATTTTAACGTCAATTTTTAAACGTTTTTAAACAATGACAACGATTGATGATAATCGGGTCATACTAAACGTTGGCGGGATCCGCCACGAGACTTATAAGGCTACTCTGAAGAAGATCCCCGCCACGCGTCTCTCCCGTCTCACGGAGGCTTTGGCTAACTACGACCCTATATTAAATGAATATTTCTTTGATCGCCACCCTGGGGTGTTCGCACAAATTCTCAATTACTACAGGACCGGGAAACTCCACTACCCCACGGATGTCTGTGGTCCACTTTTTGAAGAAGAGCTAGAGTTCTGGGGTTTGGACTCCAACCAAGTGGAGCCGTGTTGTTGGATGACGTACACCCAGCACAGGGACACGCAGGACGTGTTGGCGATTCTGGACCGACTGGACCTGGACACGGACAAACCCACGGAGGAGGATATCATGAAGAAATTCGGCTGGGAGGAGGAATATAGGGCGGGGGAGTTAAACTGCTGGCAAAGGATCCAGCCCAAGATCTGGGCCCTGTTTGACGAACCCTATTCCTCCAATGCTGCCAAGGTAAGGCGATATCTTTAATAGATGGAGTAAACAATGCAGATAATAATAATACAATTCTTTGACTTTTTTAAATTAAGTAATTTAACACGTAAGCAAGTATTCATTTGTGTTTTTATTTTTTAAAGGTTTTAAGCTTTCGTGAAGACATCGTTTCAATCAGTAAAACTAAAAACAAAAAATTCTCATCACTCTAATCAAAGCTTTAAATCAAAATAAAAGTAACTCTAACTTATCATTCTATATTTTGGGAGCAGAAAATTAATTTCTTCCATTAGTACGCGTAAATTGACAGAGGATGTTGAATCGTTTCTTTCTTTCAGCGGGTAAATAATGGAGCCAATCCTTGCTCTTTAGAATCAGTGAAAACATTTTATGGTTATTTTTACTCACACCTTCTTTGCACAAACTGATTGACTCTGACAGACGTGATTTTAGCTGATTGGTGAATGACTCTCAAGTGTACTTACTTAAGTCGGTCAATTATAAGGAATAGCCTAATTAACTAGGATTAACATTACAAGTTTTTGAATTAATCTGCTTGTAAATGTATTTATATTATTTATATTAATTTAATTACATTAAAAGTGTATTGTTTTTTAAGCAAATCAAATGCATTATCAAGTTTGATATCAATTGCTTCTGACTCAGAATTCATCTTTGAAGATTAAAGTAAAATACACTAATTTTATGTTGCTTAATGTTGAAAGTATTATACCAAATACCTATATCTGTATAACACAGCGATTTGATGATATGAATTTACTCGACAAAGCTGATTTTCCCCAAAATATTTAATTCTTCGAATGAAATGCCTGCATATTTTGGATTTTATTGCAAAATCCTTATTTAATTTGAAAACATTGATCTGGCATCTAGGACCCGACCATGAACGACTGATCTTTGGCCAAAGTTAGTATCTGCGGGACTATTGTCTTTCAAGTCTGCCGATTTTTATTTTCAGTCTTATGCGTGTAAAGTCCATTCAATGTAAGCATAAAAGTTCATCAATTACCCAAGGGTAAAACATAAAACTGACGGTTAAAGCTAACTATTCTTTCACAGACTCTGGAAATCGTTCATTTTGCCAGTTTGTTTATGGAATGATATTTTTACCAGAAGTCAGAACCTTTGGCAGAAAAAATGCTTCTGTGTAAATAATCAGACTTTGAAGCTAAATTGTGCCTCCATGACAGTCATAGACCGTTAACATCAATCATCTGCCATTGTCAGACACACAATCAGTAGAATTGAAAACCCAGCAAGATTTCGCCAAACTATCTTGGATGTAGCATTTATAAGCGTACCTAGGTTACGAAATGGGAATTGTCTTCTTCCGGAATATCCACAATAAATATGAGAAAACTGTAAACACCACACATGAATTAAACTATAAAAAATAATAATTAATTAAATGAACTATATTTATATCATTTTCTAATTGTTCATCTTAGAAAAAATGTTGTTTTCTATTGGTTGTCAACGACTAGTAGTCTGCATTTTTGAAGTGAAAGATTAATTAAGAATGGCATTCTCATTTCATGGAGAAGGACCCTAAAACATGTAAAATGACTTGTTGAATTAATCTTAGAAGGTGCAGCTGTGGAGAAATATTTGTGGTGTCTTTTCGCCACCCATTTATTTGTTTGTTACACAGTTATCTGGCAAACTAGAAGTTGAATCTTAAAGAAAACGCGGAACCACAGTACTGGCATCTCGAATACAAAAGCCACAGGATAACAGTTGTTAATCTCTGAGTTATAGATATTCTCGAGGAACAATAACACAGATAAATGTAAAAGAAACCACACAAGTGGTGCACACTGATTACACATCGTGGGCCAAACATAGAACAATTGTCAACCAGTTGAGCTGTCTGTTTTAAACAACAAAGACATTCCTCCACGTGTGAGCAATCTCGTTGTACTCGATGAGATGTCTTATTCATCAGGGGAGGGAGGAGGGAGTTTTGTCAGTAGTCTGTCTTCTTAATGATAACGTTATAACTCTAGAAATTTAACAGGTGTTCATATATTAAGACAGTACACAATTAATGCATGGCCGTAGGAACCGGGGGGGGGGGGCACGGGGGGCCGTGCCCCCCCCCCCCCAATAATTTTGCCGATATATAAAATACTATAGAAAACATAGCTACTACATGCTTGTGCCCCCTCATTAATAACGTCTGATGACTTTTTTTTTTTTTTTTTTTTTTTTTTGCTTGTCAAGGAATTTTGGAGTCGATAGTGCCCCCTCAACTGAAAATGTTGAAAATGTATGATTGTGCCCCCTCAAAGTGAAATTGCTTCCTACGGGCCTGTAATGTAATAAGTAAAACGTTTATAAAAAATGAAAATCATGTAGATCTTTTCCCTAAGCTAGTTTTAATTAAAAACAAATAATATATTACATCCATGTTGTTATTTTCTAGCTGTAGACGAATGGACTGAAACGCTAGAAAATTAAAGATGCAGTTATTGGAGACTTATTTTTTATGATGATAAACATATAGTCTGAGCAAATAAGTTTTCAAAATGAGGAACTTAATTTTGTGTTTTCTTTTTTCTTCCTTATAATAGATTCTGATTGTGATGATTATATATATTTAAAACTTGCTCAGATTAGAAATGTTTTTTACTCTTTGTATTTGATTACATTTGATTAATCAGTACAAGTTTGCACTTTCTAGTTGTGGCTATCTAGTCATGAGATATAAGCCTTGCAATTCAGATTATGCCAGATATATATGACTTGTATAAAGTAATACTTGTATAAGTAATTATTCAATTTTACAGTTTTTACAATTTTCTATGGCGCCAGACATAGATTAATTGATTCTTCGTTTTCCAGGTTATAGCCGTTGTATCAGTATTTTTCATCGTGGTTTCTATTCTCTCCTTCTGTTTGAAAACTCACCCTGAGATGAGAGTCCCTGTGCTCAGAAATACTACTTCAAACACTTCCGACGGGGGAATGTCATGGCGGTTAGAGAAAAAGAAAACAGAACCTCACCAGGCTTTTTTCTATATTGAGTGTGCAAGCAATGCTTGGTTTACATTTGAAATAATAATTCGTTTGATAGTTGCACCAAATAAATTAGATTTTCTGAAAGCACCGGTGAACATTATCGACATAATTGCCACACTTTCATTCTATTTGGATTTTATGTTGACAAAGCTGAAACAAGAAAATGATATACTGGAGTTTTTTAGTATAATCCGTATTATGCGACTGTGCAAACTCACCCGCCATTCTGCAGGGCTGAAAATTCTTATACATACCTTCAAAGCAAGTGCGAAGGAACTTGTTCTACTGGTGTTTTTTCTAGTGTTAGGTATTGTGATTTTTGCCGCTTTGATATTTTATGCGGAACGAATTCAGTATAACCCGGAAAATGATTTTACTTCGATTCCGGTCGGACTGTGGTGGGCAATAGTTACTATGACAACAGTAGGCTATGGAGATATGACACCGAAAACATACGTGGGAATGTTTGTTGGTGCTCTCTGTGCGTTGTTAGGTGTACTAACCATTGCACTTCCGGTACCAGTTATCGTGAGCAACTTTGCACTGTTCTATTCCCATACACAGGCGCGATCCAAACTACCGAAGAAAAGGCGGCGAGTTCTGCCAGTGGAGCTGCCCAGACCTAAGGGTCCAAAGGGCATGGGGCCTGGAGGAGGGCCCCCTCCTATCAACAGACACAGGAATGCGATAAAACATCCACCCGTAGGACAGCCAGACCACAAAATTAACAGAATGGGTGAGTATTTGCAGAATGTTTCATCGACGTCCTTTTTTAAATCCTTCCAATGTGATTTTCTTGTCGGTTCGATCGCTTTTGCAGCATTTTAATTGTTCGTTGAGAGTAGTATAGGATTTTTTACTTTTGACCGTGCATGTTTTTTTTCATCTTAGAGGTAAGATATATGAAGATGAAAAAAAATCTTATAAAATCTCAAATATGACAATTATAATTCCAGTCCGATACGGATTATTTTTTTTATCATGCTAACAATTCTTGTTCTCTTAACAAACTTGTCATGTGTAATAAATATTTCTTTACATATATAATTGCAATTATAGAGTAGCATAGTCAAGGACGTATATCTGTTTTACTTTTGTCAGTTTGTAAACTAGCGGAGTGAGTGGCACTATCATTAGTTTAGATTCACGTTTGTACTAAGAACAATGAGATTTTTTCAGCACATTTTTTTTTTCAAGTTAAGAAAAAAGTCTTCAAGATATCCATTTTATTATAAAATGCAGTTTTACATCACTGTGCCACAAAGTTACAGATATTTTAAAAATCTGATTGCTTTAACTGATTGTTTCTAAACCCTCTTATTTTTATCGAAAAGACCAAGGTTGTATACAGCAACTGATGCCCTTCCGTAGTAAGTTACCGGAAACATTCTGTATTTTATGTGTGGCGCATGCGCTTCTGTAGATAATACTATAGGTAACTTCCTGTGCGTCTCTTTACTAACATGTTTATACATCAGACTAACAATTTGAATGTGCTTTGTAAACGTGTCTCACGCTATTTTCTGGAGTCATCTCTGTAAATCTCTGCTTTAAGTTTTAACGGAAGTAGTTTAAATCTAGAAAGTGCTGCAAGAAATGTATACAAATTGATAAGACCCCCTTTCTCTTTACTCATACAGTAATACATGACACTGACAATGTATTTATTCTCATAAACCGACAGAAAAGACAGTGTATTGACAAATTACAAATATTGTTAAATATATGCATGCGTGACAAACCGATATTGCTATCAATTATCCATGATTAATTACAGTCCCTGAAACGTTCTACTTTCCCATTTTTCCGTTCGCTCACCGTTCGTTCACCGTTCGTTCAGCGTGCGTTCACCGTTCGTTCACCGTGCGTTCACCGTTCGCTCTCCGTTCACAGTTTTGCGTTCAGCGTTCACCGTGCGCTCGCGTTCAGCGTTCACAAAGCGTTCACCGTTCGCTCTTCGTTCGTTCACTTTGCGTTCACCTTGCGTTCAGCGTTCACTTATCGTTCAGTCTTCAGTGTCATTCGGAACTCCGAAGTGAAAGGACTTATCTTTTTTTAAGTAAGGATTTACAGGTTTTGAATTTAATAAATAACCTACCGTGTTTAAAGAATCATTATTTTATGGAAAAAAAATTATCTACAATATTTATTTTTATTATTCTAACTTAGCTGTTAGATTATTAATTATTTTTTTTTTAATAAAATTTATCCGGAAAATAAATGTTGTTGTAAGTACATGTATGTACCTATGTAGAACGATGCTGAAAAATTAAATTTTTTTTGCAAAATACTGCTACTTCAAGCACTGCAACATTTTGTTGTTATGTTAAAGACGACAAATCGTTAATGGATAGATAATAATCGAAGTCAATTTACCAACTGCAGCAAAAATACGAAAGTATTTATTTCTATCATATCTTTTTTTTCAAATAATACAGAAATGCATGTTAGAACTTGTTCTGAGAATGATAAACAGTACTGCGGATATCCAGTTAATTAAATATCTTTAGAGCGAATTAAATTGATAGTGTGGTTTAAAAAAAATATTTGTTTAAAATGTAATACATTAAAGAATTTTTTTCTACTTTACATATATAAAGTCTTTAATTAGATAGAGAGAAACGCCTTTATAACATGATTATCATTTATATAACCAAGGTGATTCTCCAGTAATGATATTTTTCACCGTAACTTTACATGTTTGTCATTCGATATTATTAAGAGCCCCCCCCCCTTTTCCCCTAAATCGGTTACTTAGTTAGTATTTCAAGTACATTTTAATTAACATTTAAAAAGAAGTTAATGTGTTTTGTAGCACAAAAATTTCAGTCTCAAAACAAACATGCATCTAAACAGAGTAATTAGACAATAGTAGTTCAAAATACATGTGCCGGCAGTGATATTTTAAATTGGCAGGGAGTATGTTTCAAATTCAAGCGGCTTAATCATTCCAAGTGTTTATTCCCAGTGTAATTTATTCATTTATTTATTTATTAGAAATGTTGGAATCAGATCTAGAAATGATAAGAAAAAATGTTAAAACTTCTTGGAAATACTAACACTTTGCCTTCGATGTGACGAGACTTTCACACCTGCACAGTGTCGAATGATTTTGATTGACAGGTCAAGCACGTGGACTTCGTGTGAACTTGAAGCAGGACAATAAAAACTGATTATGACTGTAAAACAAATGGATTTGTTGATTTAAAAATGGTTACTTTCACTGCCTGATATATTTATTAAAAAAAAATTAGAATTTTTGTTTGATATAGGTACAAACATTTGAGGAAGGGGTGGGGGGGGGGCTAAAACCGAATCTCTCTCTCTCTTTCTCTCTCTCTCTCTCTCTCTCTCTCTCTCATTTGTCTGTTTAATAAAAACTATGACAGCATATTACTTAAATATCAAGTTATGGAAATTTAATATAAAACAAATAATATGATTAATTGCCTCTTTGTATCATCTTGTCCTAGTATAATCATGACATGTCTACAGATACATGTAGAAGTCTGCTCAATAAATCATCATAAAAAATAAGACGACACATAAATATATTATTGCATTAAATTTTAAAATACGAGTGTATTTATGTAATAGGTCCACATACCTTTGTAAATTTTTTTTATCTTATTATGTTAAACGGAATCTCCTTGTATGGTTGTTACAACCGTTGCAATTCATTCTATAAGTCCGTAGTTTTCTCTTCTAAAATCCACATTATTTGTAATGATTTTATATATCAAATAAGAATAAACATTATTTTTTATTTTACAACTAGATTAATTTCATCTGTTATGCTACAGCGTTCGGTAACAATCACAATGTTTTACAGCGATAAAAATCGTGTTATTAAATCGTGTTATTAAAAAGTTGAATTTAAACATCGTACATATGTGCAGAAAATATTGTAAGAAACTTAAATTAATTTTACTTAATGTGCATGTATCGTCTTTTTGGACAATTTTCATTGATTCGTTTATTTATTTATTATTTATTTATTTTTTTAGCACAAGGTATTAGAATACAATAGAATAGTTGCAATGCAAGGAAAAGATCAGAGGCATTCCGAATAAATCGTTCATCTTGCGTTCACCGTTCGTTCACCGTTCACTTTGCGCTCGCGTTTGCGCTCCGTTCGCGTTCTGCGTTCGCTCACCGTTCAGCGTTCACACATCGTTCACCAAGTTGCGTTCAGCGTTCACACATCGTTCACTCACCGTTCGCTCTGCGTTCGTTCAGCGTTCGTTCACCGTTCGTTCACCGTTCGCTCACCGTTCAAGTGGGAAAGTAGAACGTTTCAGGGACTGTATATCCACTGAAAAATGTCATTGATTACTTGGGTATGTTTTTGTGGTAACGTTACATTATTTGATTCACTATGAGATTATTGGCCGTTTCTTTGATTTACCCTTGCTGCCACAGCACACATGAATATCAACATTTTAATTTTTGATATTTCTAATAACCTCCGAAAGAAATTGACCATGAACAGGATCTGGTTGGTCCTTTGTAATGTTAGCTGACTGGTACAATTTAACAATGCTTTTTCAAAATTCGGAAAGAAACGCCCCGACTTCGTGCCAATACAATGAACACTAGCAATGTTGCCTCCAAGGGGAAACTTAAGTAAATATTATAAGACTTGTCTCATTAAGACTTGGGTGAGCACTGAATCAAAGACTTCAACTCGCACATTGAAGTCACATTGTTGACGGATGGTAATCAGACTGTGTTTATAATGCTCATGACGTACATATCTTATGCACATGTTCTGTGTAAATTGAATTTACACTATACACAAGAAATGCTATAAATATTTATAGTACAATGGTCCAGTAATTATATTCATGGACTGGTTTACGAGGTACTGTCCTGTGCATGTTGTCACGAAAAAAATCATCAAAGAAAACGGAACACATTTTCAGAAACTAAGCCGTTTTAATTTAAAACAAAACCACATGCACTTGTTCGGCTACTGATTGGGTCAATATCTTAAGTAAATAAGATAAATAAGGCTAGGTCTAGTACTACATGTAACTAAATGAACGTTTAAAGTATATTTCAACATTTATTTCTCTTTATTATTAGCGCATGAAAAATTAACAGTATCTAAAAATGAAAGAATTTGCTTTGTTGCTGACTCAACTGCAGAATGTATTTGTCAGCTGGGACATCATAGTAAGCACATTTCTGTAGAACGTATATTTAGAATCACGCGTTCGTCTCTTCAAGAGCTTTGTGTTATAGGTGATGATTTTGGCAATGATCGAACGTGTTACAGCCACCAAATGATAGCAGGAATCATCGAACAGTAACGAGACAACCTGCGATTCGTATTAATCTATAAAAAATATAATTGCTCCAAGTTATAACCACCCCAAAGAGGCAATAAAGCAATGCTTGCCACTTCATAACGCAGCTATTTATATCAAGCGGTTACCTCCATCTGACCTTTCATGGTGTGTTTTCTCAATGCTAAATCTCATCTAAACACTGTTTTGTTAGTTGATTTGAACTTGAATTGGGTTCGAGTTTAGCATGTACTTTTTGTAGGAGCACAATTAAATTTCTGATCCTGGAGACTTGCCTCTTACAACTTTATCTATATCTCGATTACTTCTTTTCTTTTCTCGGAGCAATTTTAATTATTTTATATACGTCAGAAAACATTCCATGTGATCTACAGAATTCGCTGATTTACCATGTACAATATTTACTTAGCATGACTGTCTGGCCAGACATAAAATCAATATAGATAGAGCGGTTAGACTTCTACAAAGGCGGTTATCTTCAAAATGTGCTAATATATAAAGAAGTGAACGCAGGAGACTCTAAACACTGCACACTTAAGAGTTCCAATCCCATAGTAGTTTTATGCAGTTAGAATGATCTGCCCTTAGATGTAAGAATCGCGATCTACAGTGTTTTGCACAATTTGTTATACATCATAATGATAAAAGTATAAGATGCTTAACACTATATTCAATCAAAATAAAGCCACGTTTTTGCATGTATTTTTCAAATGTAAGTAAGGTAAACAACACTGAGAACATTGTTCCTGGGGAAATGGCAGATATCCCTTTGTTGAAAATAAACGAGATAAACTCAGTGTGTACATTTTTACATGATCAGATTCAAAGTCAAAAACACATTTTTCATTAGTAATTAGAGCCTCTTTCAAAACAAATTCAAATCTGAACTGTTATATAATGTATGATAATAGTGAAAGTTAAAGGAATGGAATACTTACATCAACAGTGTAAAAGTCTTTTTAATTTTTTTACATCGATTTAAGCGTTACGCAGTTTCTTAATTAGCAGGATTGTAATTAAAATTTTTCAGGGCTTTCTTCACCAGGTGGCGCTTCGAGCCAGTATTGCATGGATCACATGGTCACCTCCGACCAACTTCACATTGCATGCTTACTAACACACTATAGATTAGAAATATTCATCTGTATATAATCACCATAAACACCAATCAATGTCTAGATTAAAAGAAAAGCTACCTCGTAAATGAATATGCTTTTTTTATAATTATAAATTGTATGTCTAGTGTAACGTTTAGGAGGTAGAACTATAGTACTAACAGAGATTAATCCATAACAAGTAAATACTTAAGACAATGATATAGAAGTTAATATATTGACAACTTTAGAGTTGCGTGCATTGAGCATTAGTGTTTGTTGTAGTTTGCTAATGTGTCCCGTTCTTTCTCATCCGCAGCATATCCCTACGGGTATTATCTAGGTATAGTATGCCATGATTTTGCCGTGAGATAAAGAAGTTTTCTTGATTGCTATGCAAGTCAGGAAAATCTGTTGAAAGATAATTATGATAGGCGATAGCAAGATCTCTGCCCGTGATTTCTTATTTCTACAAATGCGCAAACAAACCCAAAGTTTTTTTCGCTATCGGTTTGCATTGTTTTGACATTGTTAAAAACATGCCTCGGAAATTGATTGGAAATGCTTACCATTTTTCCTTGGAAATCACAATAACGGCTCCCAGGAGGCAATCAGTGGGGTTTATCTGGAGTATTTGTGTAGTAACTAAAGACTTGCTATCGTCTGCCCTTTCACCATTAGTTTCCACTCTAACTCTCTACTGTTTACTTAATCTGGTTTATTCCATGTTGGATTTACTAGAATGGAAGTGGCTCCATTTTGAGTTCTCAAGCTTTTTATTTACTCACATTTTTGGGTCAATACTACAGGAGTCTACAATAACCACTTGTCACACTGTATATATATATATATATATAGTATTATATAAAACTCACACTGAATTTTGGGCAAACTTATTTTGTTACTGATATATAAGTGGATAATTATTCCTTTAATGCATGTCACGCTATATGATTAACAGCACCAAGTATCCAATTTCTATAATAGTTATACAAGCATATATTCTGTACTAATATCACCAGCCGCTCAGTATATTCCACTAAGCAAATTAATTACTAACATTAGAAAATTATCAGAACTTATTTAAATCTTACATCTTTAACACACAACATTAATGTTATGCTATTAAGCATCATTTATTTAGAAAGGCAAGAAGCATTTTGCAGTAGTTCTTCATTCATATGTATAACGGGTAGTCTATCTTTAATTTAGCTTAGTCATTTTATGAATCTCAGTGTTCTTTTTAATTAAACAGAGCAGTGCAAGATGGCGGTAGATTACGAAAATAGCACTCTATGTAAATACTACATTCTAAATGTTCCGCTTACGTTTTTATAAATCTTGGTAGAATATTAACTACTGCAGTAATTCTCATCATTATATCTTATAAAAGGGCTTTACTGGGGTTGAGCTGATTTATCAAGAGAAGGTACGCAAAGCGGCCTTTACAGTTAATTAACTCCTTGCGAGGAGGGAAATTATCCATTGGTTATTAAAAAACTGTTTCCATGGTAGACTGTGACTCTGTACTTGCTAACACCTTGATGTAGAAGATGGTAGACATTGTTTATTTTTGCCGGTTTTGTACTAATCGCATGTTGTTTGTCTGCTAATATGTGCATTTTGTGTTGCTTCTGTAGGCCGGGCTGGAGAGGAATCGATCCCGATGTTGATGATAAATCACACCGATAAAGAGGATAATACGGTACCTCGATCCCGACCCCAATCCAATGTGGTCGACAAGAGTCCTCCGCGGCTAGTGGAAATAAGTTCTAACCCCGGAACCCCTTTAAAAGTTACCGAAATTAAGCCAACTGGTTTGTATTCTGAGGACATTTTGTGGCTTTATGTCGTCATTGTTCTGTTTGAAATTCTTCTAATTTTTTTCTTTCTTACACGAATTCAGAGGACCATATTTACTAGTTAAACTAGTTCAGAATTTTTTCCCATCTTTTTATTGATTTCTGTAAATGTTATTATATTATGTGATCTCAAATCACGAACAAAACCATGGAAATAATTTCCGCTACTTACAACTGGTTTACAGAAACAAGGAGCTTTTGCGTGTTGTGAAGCACGGCTTGCATTCAGTGTCGCTTACAGCATTTTGGTTGTAGATCTACTCCTTTTTAAGCGTAGTTCTAACTTTATGTTTCCTTAAAATCGATATCATCGTCCATGATGGAGTTGCATGCTGTCGTTAATGTTACTGAGATTGGAATGTTCGATTTCTGCGAAGTGAGTGCTAGTAAATAATGGTTACTGTATATAAACACGCAGACTGCAGAAGACGAGGACACATTCACAATACCCACTGTATCATTATACCCAGTGTTTTCCCCTCTCTCTATATATATTCAAGCGTGAATATACTACATGAATAATTGTAGAATTTAATGAAATTAAACAAAACAGATTAAAGTGAAAATTTCAAGGAACTGCAAATATATAATATTCTTTAAAAGTTCTTCTAGCCTAAGGGCCAGTTTAATTGGTGTGCAAACCGAGAGTGTTCGAATTATTATCATCTGGAATTGATCGAAGGTCGAAAGATGATTTACCCTTTGCAACTGTTTGATGTAAAAGTGGAATGCATAACTACAAGCATACAATCAAACCACAGATTTTATTAACGAACAGAGTAGTGTTGTTATGCAGCTATTCACAAAACACCCTTAGGACTTTATGAAAAAGTTTTGTTTTAATATTATATGCATATGAGCTACGATTACAGAATACTTTGAATTACTGCTTTTTTGTTTGTTTCTAACTTGAAGTCAGTACTCCGTTAAAGTAAATGTCGAAAATTGAGAAAAGATTTTAACGACAATAAACTGCAGTGGACTTGTTACCTTGAGACTAACTTCACACACACTGTGTATAAGAGATTAGCCTTTTATGTAAATGTATCTAATTGTGTTTCTCTTTCGTAGATGCCACGGGAATCACGAGTTTGATTATGGCGCCAAACGCCAATCTCAACAGCACACCTGTTGGAACTAGTAAAACTGTGACCCCAACTTCTGTCAACCTTGGGATCAACACCAATTCTGTCACCAGTACCACCACCACCACAGGATCACCCCAAAACCAAGAGAAGAGTAAGTTAAATAATCAAGTGTACTCTAGAGTTCTCTAAGTCAAGAGTAAGTTATTTAATCAAGCATATAGCTCTCTAAGTCAGGAATAAGTTAACTTATGTAGAGTCTATATCTCTAAGTCAAGAGTAAGTTAACTAATTAAGTGTATATTTCTCTAAGTCAAGAGTTAGTTATCAGGCATATTTTAGAGATCTCTAAGTCAAGAGTAAGTTAACTAATCAAGCATACTTTATAGATCTCTAAGTCAAGAATAAGTTATCAAATCTAATGTTCTTTATAATTCTGTAAGTCAAGAGTAAGTTATCTTACCAAGTGTATATTTCTGTAAGTCAAGAGTAACTTCACTAAACAAGAGTACTTTGAATTTCTCTATGTCAAGTAGTTGAGAGTAAGTTTTCTTATCAAGTATACCAAATAGGTCCCTAAGTCAAGACTAATCAGGTGCACTTTATAAGAAAGTTAATTAATCTAGTGTACTTTATAGTTCTCTAAGTCAAGAGTAAGTTGATTGATTAAGTGTACTTTAAAGTACTCTAAGTCAAGAGTTTAATTAATCTAGTTTACATATCTCTACTTCAAAAGTAAAGTTAATACTTCTCTAAGTCAAATGTAGGTTAACATATTTCTCAAAGTCGAAAGTAAGCCAACATTTTATGTGGCTTAGTCTTACTTTAGTTAAGTAAGTTAGTTAAGTAAGTTAGTAAAGTAAGTTGGTTGAGTAAGTTATACTAATATATTGTTCTTTATAGGTTCTAAGCCAAGAATAAGTTAATTAATCAAATTACTTTATATTTCTCAAAGTCAATAGTAAGTAAACTAATCATATGTATATTTCTCTAAATCAAGAGTAAGTTAACTTATCAAGTGTACTTAATAATTCCTATATCAAGAGTAAGTTTGCTAATAAAATATATCGTTCTATAAATTCTGAGTAAGTTAACTAATCAAGTGTACTTTATATTTCTCCAACTCAAAAGCGAGTCACTAAATCTAGTGTAATTTATAGTTCTCTAAGTCAAGAGTAAGTTAATAAATCAGGTGTACATTATAGTATGCTAAGTCAAGAGTTAAATGATTCTAATGTTCTTTATATTTAAGTCAAAAGTACATTAAAATATTTCTCTAAGTCAAAAGTAGGTTAACATATCAAGTTACTTTGAAGATTCTTAGTCAAGAGTAAGTTAACTAAATAAGTGTTCATTATAGTTTCTTAGTCAAGAGTAGTTAACTAATTAAGTGAATAGTTCTCTAAGTCAAGAGTAGGTTAAATAATCAAGTGTACTTTACATTTCTCTAAGTCAAGAGTAAGTTAACTTATCAGGTATACTTTCTAATTCTCTAAGTCCAGAGTCAGTTAATTAATCTAATGTACTTTATAGTTTGTAAGTCAAGAGTAAGTTAACTAATCAAGTGTTCTTTCTAATTCTCTAAGTCAAGAGTCAAGTAATTAATCTAATTTACTTTATAGTTTCTAGGTCAAGAGTAAGTATATAAAATAAAGTGTGCTTTATATTTTCTAAGTCAAACGTAATTTAATATATCTAGTGTACTTCATAGTTCTCTAAGTCAAGAGAAAATTATTTTATCTAGTGTACTTTATACATATAGTACTCAAAGTCAACAGTTTGATTAATCTAGTTTACTGAACATTTCTCTAAGTCAAAAGTATGTTAACAAATCAAGTGTAATTTATAGTTTCTAAGTCAAGAGTATGTTAAATGAATTAGTGTTCTTTATAGTTTCAAAATTAAGAGTTAGTTAACTAATCAAGTGTACTTTATATTTCTCTTTGTCAAGTGTTGCAATCCTATGAAGTGCATATTTCTCTAAGTCAAGAGTAAGTTAACTAAACAAGTGTATATTTCTCCAAGTCAAGAGAATATTAACTAATCAAGTATATATTTCTCTAAGTCAAGAGTAAGTTAACTAAACAAGTGTATATTTTTCTAAGTCAATAGTTAGTTAACTAATCAAGAGTATATTTCACCAAGTCAAGAGTAAGTTAACTAATCAAGCATATATTTCTCTAAGTCAAAAGTACTTTTACTAAATAAGCGTATATTTCTCTATGTCAAGAGTAAGTTTACTAAACAAGTGTATATTTCTCTAAGTCAAGAGTAAGTTAACTAATCAAGTGTACTATCTTAATCCCTATAATCAAGAGTAAGTTAATAAATCAAGTGTACTTAAAAGTTCTCTATGTCAAGAGTACGTAAACTAAACAAGTGTACTATCTAAATTTCTATAACTCAAGAGTAAGTTAATTAATCTAGTGCACTTTATAGTTTCTAACTCAAGAGTAAGTTAATTAATAATTGTTCCCACATTTACTAGTAGCTAGGATTTATGACTTATGACAATGTTTGGCTAGTCTGATTAACTTTCTAAGTAATAATAGTGTAACAGAGACACTCATGTGAATTGGGCTCTGCATGGGATTGAACTCAGGTCCTCTGACTTGCCAGTTTATTCTCTACCAATCTAGTTAAGGGTTTACCCTCTAGCTCATGCCAGTAGGAAGTCGTGCATCACACACTGAGGAAACTCATCTTCACAACTTAATGGTTTTGCACCTCCTAAAAGCACAACTAACTAATAACATCTACAAGCTAGAAAACTAAAAGAGAATCTTAATTTTTTTGTTCTATTATATTCAAACTTGAAAAGCAACTTAGCTCTTTTTAGATGGTTGATATAACAGTGCAGATTTTGCAGATCTAATCCGTTGTTCATGGTTCGCTGCAGGTTTCGTTGGAAAATAGAGGCTCGTCACGCTTTAAACATCTTTCTTTACTGAACTTTTTGACCATACACTTTAAGATAAACATATTTTATAGTGTAGGGTGGTCAAACAGAAAGAAGAAGACGACCGTTACGAGACCCTGTGGGTCTGTGTGATTAAAACCGTCGACCCCTTTCTTCTGACGACAATAGGAGGAAGGCGGAGGGTGGCTTTAATCAGACGGCCCTGTGGTTATTGGTATACTAGTACTGCATGTATATATAAACAATATGCCAATACGGCATGTCATAATGATAGGAAAACCTCTTGAAAATCCAGATTCGCTAGTCTGCAATATAATATTAAGTAAATGCAGGACAAATAAATCTCAGTTGCATGTAAATAGAATATTTATCGACTTTTAGAGTGCGGTTTTTCCATTGACGGAATCGTTTTATTCCATTCTTCTTTGAGGATGCAAATAAAAAATGGCAAGGAACTCACTTTCGGATAATCTAATACCAAATTTAAGAGCAAACACCTCTAAGAGGAATTCATGGTTTCAAAAATTCAGATTCAGTTACAAAATCCAAGTACTATCGAATCAGAACTACAGAAAGATTCAGAATCCAGATTCGGATTCTTTGTAACGACAAAACGGCATTATTGACCCATGTTCACAATTTCATAATGACAGGAACGGCATATTTGATTTTAATCTCTTTTTCATTATAGCAGACTTGGTCAACAGTGCTCACGTGACGGATGGTTCTGCAACAGACCCCTCCAAAGTATCAAACTCTTCAGCCGTGAACAACGCGACGGAGCCCAGGCACTACTCCCCCTCCACCTCACCCCCAAAGTCCAACAATCTAGTGGCTGTTAACACGTAACCCAGGCTTCGTGTCGCTATGTCGTCCAATACAGTGACTTCCAGCCGAGCAAGACATATCGGAAAATAAATAGATTGTGACGTCACGTCTGCTCTTCGAAACCGGAAGTGGGACTGTCAGAGAATGGCTAGTTACCTGTAGAATGTCCTCGTGTCCTGCTTCACATGACAAAGCGACACCTGGTGTAGGTTAGGAACATGCATAGAAATGTGATGATTTCTCCATCTATATTTCTATATAAACAAATATTTGAATTCAGTCACTTCCCCATGTCTGTGATGTTGATCCCTACACATATTAAATGTTGTTCCATGTAATTAACTAGAGAATTTCACTAATGGCAAAAATGTAGATTCTTATCAGTTTAATATGTCAAATAAGAGACCCCCCCCCCCCCCCCCCCCGTAAACGAAACCAATACCGATATCAGATTGTGCACAATTTAAAATTGATTACCCTTTTCTCCCTTGATTTATACTGGTCACAAAACAGTTTGCAACGAACCCCCGAAAACGCTATCATAGGTTTGATAGTCCCTTGTTTTGTTTACTTATGTACAACGCAACCAAACGATATTATATACGGCTTCAGTATTGTCACAACAGGGAAGAAAGAATCTATACAACTCAGTAATAATCGTATATCTAAACGCACTTTATGTAGTTAAATGCTGGGAGTTTATGTTTAAGATATATTTAAAAGTGTTTTGAACTCAATGTCTTAAAATCACCTATAATTTGCATTTTTTTGGTAATTTGGAGACTTGCATCTTCAATCCAATTAGTCATCTTTCCAGCGAAGTAAAATTTCTGAAGAAAAGAAATAGAAATAAGATAAAGTAAAAGCTACAATCAATCTCCTTAATAAGAACGTTTTAAAGTTCACAGAATAGAGTTAGAAATGAATCACAAATGATAATTATTTTACAGGTTAAACTGGACTTTAAAAGAATACTAGTATATATTGTTAGCACTTGTAGTTATATCTTGTACGTACCATTTACATGCACTAACTAAGATTGTTATGGCATATTGACTTGACTAAGACCAGGCGTCAAGTAATTATTGGCGCAATTCCTGTTTCTAACCCTAGTGGTTTGTTGCGATACGCTGATTTTTTTTTAAATATGCTGTTGATTTCTTGTAGAATTTTATTTTTCTTCTCCCCTAGTGTTGAGTACTTCCGGTTGTAGACCGGAAACGGAAGTTATCAGTTCTATTTGTTGAACATATGTATATCAGTTGTGTGTGTGGTTCATGTATATATAATTGTTTATAATATTATGAATATATACACAGCGAAATTTATTTTTCTCCCCTCTAAATATAGCCACTCAAATACCCAATAGATTTCTTTTATACAGACATGAAATTTATTGTTTAACCATATGTTGCACAAAGAACATTTAGAAAAAAAATCTAAATAGAAGCTGCTTTTTTTATTAAGGAAATCAATATTGAATGTTCGGCAATCATTTATACAAAACAATAGCGATTCACTGGAGTGTATCTACATGTTGACCGTACTAAAAAGATGAAAAAAAATCAATACAGAATATGAACTTGTGATCTATTTTGGCTTTTTATATAGCAATGTTTTTATTTTTATCTAGATAAAAACAAAAGACTTATCTAGATAAAAACAAAAGACTTTCTGTTCACTCAAAGAAAATACAACATAGCCGAAAAGAAACGATAAAAGATGACTGCAGATATTATATATATATATATATATATATATATATATATATATATATATATATATATATATATATATTATATATATATATATATATATATATATATATATATATATATATATATATAGTTGTTCTAATTTTAGAAAATAGCTTCAGGAGGAAGGAGATACTCATATCAATTACAATAAATCAAATCATATCAGAATTTAGCACATCTTGTGAGTATATATATATATATATATATATATATATATATATATATATATATATATATATATATATATATATATATATATATATATATTACAGTCACTTCTCACTCGGCCGCCCTTCCTCTCTTGCTGGACCATCCCGGGTCTATCTGTAGAAATACGTTCCGTTTCTGACAGGGTTTGAAAACTTGCTGCCTGATGAATTTACTGTGTAAAAACTGGACATTTTCACTTTGTTACAGAAACTGCAAAATGATAATAAATCATTGTCTTATTCAATCTTTTATTGTATATCTGAGTTTCATTTCCAGTCACCGACCCCCCCCCCCCCCCCTCTTTGCCCTATGGCTACACAGACTTCAAGACGGATTAATTTCAGCGCGCATCAATCTAGGATGTGAATGATGTCGCAGTAATTTCAGTAACGATCAATGATCTATAAAAGAGAAGTATGGAACAATACATTAAAAGATTCAAGCTGCTGTTTTCAGATACGACTATATTAACCTGTTTACTGGAAATCAATTGATTCAATCAGCTAGGCCATCATATTAGATAAGACCTATACTGTGTGAGAAGCTAGGGATTATTATATCTATGTGCACCATGTGCGTATTGAATTCTATGGTAAACAATAAAGGTCTGCATTACTTTGAGAGTTCTGGACTCTATTTGAGAAATGTACTAAACATTGATTAAGATGTACTCTGAATAAATTGCTGAAGGGCATTCTAGAAGTCACTCCATAATTTAATGCAATTAGTAAATCATTTTCTCTAAGTTTATTGGAAAGCTATGTAAATTTGATGTTGGCAAAGTCTTTATTTTTTTTATACCCGAATATGCTTTTAACTCCCTTAAAACTTGTAAATGTCTGCGAATTTGTTAAAGGAGCATGGACACACTTGCATTATCTTTTGTTTACAATTTTAAAATTCTATATTGTTTACCAGAAGTCTCTAACGAGACTGTCGCTCTACTGATGTGCCCTTATAATAAAGATGTATCTTAGTATAATCTACTTGTGTACCAAGTTTTTTTGAAATCTGACCAAATCTGTAGTAGGAGTAATGTTTTGAGAATTTCTGTTTATACTAGCATATGGCAACATCGATCGTTTAAATAAAAAACCAATAAATAGAATTGTTTATCTAAGTAAAGTATACTCGTGTACCAAGTCTTACTGAAATTAATTTAAACGGTTGGAGGAGGAATTAAACAGATTTTTCTATTTTTAGTAACCATGGTAACACCATTTGTCATAAATAAAAGATGATGGACATAATTATATTATTTATCTTAGTGTACCAAGTCTTACTGAAATCGAACAAAAAGTGCAAGTGAAATAGTTTTTGAAAGAAATTCATAGACATTTTTAGTAACTATGGCAACACAGTTCGTCGAAATCAAAAACCGATACTTAAAATTATGTATATTAGTATAGTCTACTTGTGTAGCAAGTCGGACTTATTTTGATTATAACTTTAATATCTTGTATTTATACGCCACAAATTTCTCACTTTTTAAGTAAAAATGATAAATTTTAGTTCATATGTAATTGCAAAGACGTATGTCAATCAAATACGTCCAAAATTAGTAGTTTGTTTTAAATATCAGATAAAAGTTTTTCAAATATCGCGGTATGAAACGCTATCGTGTCATATAAGACATGGAATTCTTCCAAACTATTTCATTAAAAATTAACTTCAAAACTGTCAATGCCCGTTTAAAGTTTAAAAAAAAAATGATGCGGCATAAATTTTCTTTGTATGGCCATTTTCATTTGCAAAATTTCTTAACATTTCCTCGGCAGATCATGACTAACAGAAATATCGACATTGGTCTGATATTTTTTTTTCACATACTTTTCTTTGGATCCTATTATTTCTCGCTAATGCTGTAAAAATGTTATTGTATTAATCTGTGTTTATTACACCAAATGAGGCCCAAGGGTCCTAACACTCACCTAAGTATAATACAATTTAGAGGATCCATAGAAGTATAAAATAAACTAATAGATGAAGCTTTCTTACCCAAAATCAAGAGAAATAGGATGATCAGAATCAACAAAATACTTAGTCTTGTACTCATAAGTTCTACTTGCCCCCATTTATCACTAATCACTAAGAAGACTATTAGCAAAATAATACTGCTTCTGTACAATACTTAACCCTATATATTGGCCTTTCTTAGGTCTTTGAAAAAATATTTAATAAAATTTAGTTATTTTTGTCTCATTTTTAATTTATCAGTTACAAGTCAATCAGATCATTAAAACTATGGAAATAGTTTTCGTATTATACAATAAAAGATCTTGTACCATTTTCTTATTCTACCAACCTTTAAAATCCATTATTTACAGTGATTAATTATCAAAAGTGGATGGCAAGGGCGAATAGCTTCTCTTAGTAGAATACAAATTAATAGAGCCTTGTCCAGCACTAGAACACTTGACCAAATGGTTCAGAATATCATAAATCTGGTAAAAATATACTTGCTTATTAAAAACTTTTACTCTGCCTCCAAGATGCCCAGGAGCAGAGACGATTTTCAAAGAAATAATGCATTTTCACTATAGATTCAACACAGCCCTACCCTAACACCAGGATCCATTACCAAGGTCATGAAATTCCCAAATGTGGAAGAGGTACTCTCGCTCATCATAACTATGCACTTGATTTTCCAAGAATAAGAGAATTCATTTTCACTATATTATCAATAGACCCCCCGAAACACCAGAAACCCTGACCCTGGGACCACAAGTTTTAAAAATTTTGGAAGAAGCACCCTTGCTTATCATAACTATGCACTTTGTTTTTCTGCTCAATACCCAGGAGTAGACAAATTTATTTAAAACAATTAATGCATTTGCAATGTATAATCAGTAGAGGGCTTAATGCTTATTACAATCATGCCAACAGTTTGACTGCTTATGTCCAGAACAGGGATGGGGTAATTGTAACAAGAGGCCCATGGGCCACATCGCTCACCTGAGTAACTTTGGCCATGCTGTTCTTTACCAGATCCCCCCCCCCTCCTTGTAATACCAATTGTGGCCCCGCCCTACCCCGGGGGGTCCTGTTTGAACAATTTAGAATCTACACTACCCAAGGATGCTTCCACATAAGTTTCAGCTTTTCTGGTCCAGTGGTTCTTGAGAAGAAGATTTTTCAAGATTTTTCCTATATATTTCAATGTAAAACTTGGATTCCCTATTGTGGCTCCGCCCTACCCCCGGGGGTCATGATTTTAACAATTTAGAATCTACACTACCCAAGGATGCTTCCACATAAGTTTCAGCTTTTCTGGTCCAGTGGTTCTTGAGAAGAAGATTTTTCAAGATTTGTCCTATATATTTCAATGTAAAACTTGGATTCCCTATTGTGGCCCCGCCCTACCCCCGGGGGTCATGATTTTAACAATTTAGAATCTACACTACCCAAGGATGCTTCCACATAAGTTTCAGCTTTTCTGGCCCAGTGGTTCTTGAGAAGAAGATTTTTCAAGATTTTTCCTATATATTTCAATGTAAAACTTGGATTCCCTATTGTGGCCCCGCCCTACCCCCGGGGGTCATGATTTTAACAATTTAGAATCTACACTACCCAAGGATGCTTCCACATAAGTTTCAGCTTTTCTGGCCCAGTGGTTCTTGAGAAGAAGATTTTTCAAGATTTTTCCTATATATTTCAATGTAAAACTTGGATTCCCTATTGTGGCCCCGCCCTACCCCCGGGGGTCATGATTTTAACAATTTAGAATCTACACTACCCAAGGATGCTTCCACATAAGTTTCAACTTTTCTGGCCCAGTGGTTCTTGAGAAGAAGATTTTTCAAGATTTTTCCTATATATTTCAATGTAAAACTTGGATTCCCTATTGTGGCCCCGCCCTACCCCCGGGGGTCATGATTTTAACAATTTAGAATCTACACTACCCAAGGATGCTTCCACATAAGTTTCAGCTTTTCTGGCCCAGTGGTTCTTGAGAAGAAGATTTTTCAAGATTTTTCCTATATATTTCAATGTAAAACTTGGATTCCCTATTGTGGCCCCGCCCTACCCCCGGGGGTCATGATTTTAACAATTTAGAATCAACACTACCCAAGGATACTTCCACATAAGTTTCAGCTTTTCTAGGCCCAGTGGTTCTTGAGAAGAAAATTTTTCAAGATTTTTCCTATATATTTCAATGTAAAACTTGGATTCCCTATTGTGGCCCCGCCCTACCCCCGGGGGGTCATGATTTTAACAATTTAGAGTCTACACTATCCCAGGATGCTTCCATATAAGTTTCAGCTTTTCTGACCCAGTGGTTCTTGAGAAGAAGATTTTTCAAGATTTATTCCTCTATATGTCAATGTAAAACTTGGATTCCCTATT